CTGGCTGTGCGCTTGGCGGCCCAAGTAGCTCAGGAGCTGAACTTGAATCAAAGTGACACGGTCTTTTGGAGCGACAGCAAAGTCGTCCTCAGCTACATCGAAAACAACAGCAGGCGCTTCCACGCGTTCGTTGCTAATCGTGTGGCCGAGATCCGTGACGTGTCTGAGCCCAGACAGTGGCGTCATGTGCCGACCGAGCTCAACCCAGCAGACGACTGCTCGCGGGGATCGAAAGCCTCCGACCTGAAGAGAGACAGCCGATGGATAAGGGGACCCGACTTCTTGTGGCAGTCAGAAGATGCCTGGCCACCAGACCAGCAGCTGTCACTGAAAGATGAGGATCCAGAGCTTAAGACCGTGATGGTCACACAACACAGCACCCGGCTGGCCACCCTTACCCTGCCTGACCCACAACGGTTCTCTAAATGGGTCCGCTACCAAAGAACTGTCGCCTGGATTCTGCGATTCACGAGGAACATGTTGAGAGTGCTGAAGTCTCAGGTCGCACAGCCAAACGCCCTCGAGCGGGAGCCACTATCTGCCGAGGAGCTACATGAAGCTGAAAACATGGCGGTGCGAAGTGCCCAACGGCAGGCATTCGCCCAAGAGATTGAGGCACTGAACGAAGGTAAGGAGCTCCCTTCGTCAAGCAGTCTTCTGCAGCTGACTCCAATGCTAGACTCAGAGGGGCTGTTACGAGTCGGCGGACGGCTATCTAATGCTCCTGTGCCAGAAGAGACCCGCCACCCTGTGATCCTCCCGAGAAGTAGCTGCATCTCGAGGCTCATCATCGACGCAGTTCATCGACGACTGATGCACGCGGGAACCGAACATGTCCTAAATGAGCTCCGTCAGGCCTACTGGGTGCCGCGCGCCCGGCAAGAAGTCAAGAAGGTAGTGGCTGACTGCCCTCTTTGCCGACGACGCCGAGCTAAGCCGTGTCAGCCCCGCATGGCCGACTTGCCGACCGCACGTTTCGACACGAAGTACGCCTTCAGTTCAATTGGGCTCGACTTCTTCGGTCCTCTAAAGATCAAGGTGCATGGAGGACGAATCGAGAAGAAGTGGTGTATGCTGGTCACGTGCCTCTCCACGCGCGGGGTCCATCTGGAGCTGACATCCTCCCTGAGTACCGACAGCTTCCTGATGGCCTTCCGCAGGTATATCGCACGACGTGGACCGCCATCAGACGTCTTCTGTGACAACGGATCGTGTCTGCGGGCTGGAGAGAAAGAGCTACGCCAGCTGCTGCGACAATGGAACCAGCAGACTATCAGCGATGAGCTCACTCAACGCGACATCCGGTGGCATTTTAACCCACCGGCTGCCTGTGATATGGGCGGCGCCTGGGAACGGATGGTGGGGACTGTCAAACGCGCGCTGAGAGCTGTCCTCGGGCGGCTGCTTGTCTCCGAGGAAGTACTGCACACTGTTCTGACTGAAGTGGAAGCAGTCGTCAACAGCCGTCCACTCACGCACGTGTCGACAGACCCGAACAGTTTGGAGGCACTGACGCCCAATCATCTGCTGTTGGGGCGTCCGGTCAGGCGTCTGCCTCCGGGATTGTTCCGAGACGAAGAGAGCTGCTCCAAACGAGTTTGGCGGCAGAGCCAGGCGCTAACAGACCAGTTCTGGCGGAGATGGCTTCGAGAGTATGTACCAGGTCTGGCATGCCGACCGAAGTGGAGATCGGAAAGTCGCAGCCTGGCAGTGGGGGATCTCGTCCTCATCGTGGAGAACGGCAGCCCGCGCGGCCAGTGGCCCCTGGGACGCGTGACCGAGACAGTTCCTGGGCCTGATGGCCGCGTCCGGTCTGCGCGCGTACTGGTCCGTGGAGGAGAAGTGCACCGCCCCGCCCGGCGGCTCTGCCTGCTGGAGGAGGCGCCCGGGTCATGAGCTCGTGTGCGCCTGCTCCGCTCCGTTGGCGGGGGGAGGGTGTTATTTCTGAAAGTGCCAATCAATTATCCTTATGAGGAGGATCCGTGCAGATTTCACATGAAATCCAACAATGATGGAAAATTATGAAAAATGTAGAACAGTCTGGGTGAATGATGGATGATGTGAAACGAGGTGAATTTGTATCGACACTTGGCTAATAGTTTTACGAATTTCGAATACAGTCATTTAAAGTAACTGGCCCCTTTTACGATACCCGGCAAGAACAATCGTTAAAATGTTATTGACGTAACATAGATTGTAGGCCTCGAGACTCGAAGTTTTCATGATTCTGTGCAATACCCCGAACATTGCCTTGGAACAACAGCGTTTCTAATTCAGAAAATCAGCCGAATTAGATCAAGGCCTTCTGTGTGAAGCCGGAACGCCTCTTGATCTGACGGCCACCAGCCGCTTGGCTTCATTCATTGGGTCCGCTCGTATAACCGGGCGTAACGGCGGCGCCCCTGTCTGGGCCCCCGCAGCCAAGGCCGGAGCGTGGAGTGGGTACGAGGTGCCGGTTTCTGCGCCGGCTGCGGTGATCTGGCCGGTCAAACCCGACTATTTCACCGCGCCGGAGATCGACGGGCTGATCTGCCCGGGACGTGCGATTGGAACCCTATTTGGTACAGAGGCCATGGGCTGTAGGTTCCAGTTTTCCGGAGCCCTGAGCTCAGAACTGTAAGCATCAACCGGGTCCCGTAGTTTAGAGCCGAGACGGAGCGGTACCGCAATTTACCTACATTTGATGCATGGGGATACATGGGACCGACTTTTAACCCATCGTAAACGCTTCAAGGAGAATCACCATTCGGTATGACCTGCTGAAGAAGTAGTCGTCTTCATTTAATAATTCTACATCTGTAAAAGGAGCCGATATTCCGACAAACAGTATTGAATGACTCACATGACGTATGTCGCCGGTCGACAATGACGATTCAGTATCCAGTTCCATCGTTAGATATCAAACAAGATAGATACCATAATTATTCGTGTCTCACCAGTCTTTTAAGAATGGCCATCGTTATTCCTCGTAATTGTGGGCACTTGCATTACACACATGCAGCAAATAGCAATGAACACTTCGCCACATCGGGACAGCTCGAGACGGTCGTTATAAAATGGACACGAAAGACGTCAATGGCATATGGACAAATCGACCTGGGCTTACGCAATACATTCATCTTTTTTACTTGGGGATTGAATTGAATCTGTGTTCATCTTGCGCCTTGCGGTTTGATTTTATCGCCAAGCAACGTATAAAGTTCGAATAATGACAATTAAATGACTCGCATGATAAATCCATCTATATTGAATGTTTTCATTCTCAATAGGTTACCTACATGTACCTAATTTTAGGTAAAGCATTTCCCTACCATTCCGACATTTTTGAGAACATCTTCGTGGCAATGGAGACGTTTTCGCGTATGGAAAAGCGGTGCTGCACAGCCTAGGTATCGCAGAAAAAAAAAGATCGCTACAAAAGGTTCATTAGGTATATGGAAAACGATCGTAAAGAAAGCCATCTTTTGCTGAGAATGTTAAAGTTGAACACTTCTAGCGTGGCTTAAATGCAGCGAGCGAAAACAGCGTACTGTACAGCGTATGGTAACAGGTATGTGACCGGGAGAAAATGCACGCGAATTCTGACAAACAGCGTGCCAGAAGAGAACGTAAGATCCGTTTGCACGATGAAATACCTCGTTACAGCGTGAGTAGAGCCGCATATACCTAATACCTACCTACTCGTGCAGTCGCGGGCCGGGCCACGCAGACCCAAGGTCCTTATTTAAACCGCTTAGGCGTCCGAAGCCTGCAGCAGAGCGTTGCGGGCCATGACGCCATGGGACACTTAGCCTTGACCCGGCTGTCAGCAGGCGCACGCGCTGGTCACGTGTCTCTGGTCGGGCTCCTCCGTTGGGGAGAAACTCTCGTGCACATCCGGGACGGCGGCTGGGCGCCAGGGGAGGACGGCCGGCTAAATAACACCGATAGCACCCACCGCCGGCGGCTCCAGACGCGGCCGAATGGAAAGTGAACTGGCCCGGCCGGCGCGGCGGCCGGCGCACGCCAGGTGTGTAAGCTGCGCGTGCCTGTCCCAGTGACCTTGTAGGCTGTAGCCGAGCTGTGCGACCGTCACCGTATGTGTGTGTGTGTCTGTGTGTGCGAGTCGGACTGCCGACTGTTGTGTGGGTCTGTGAAGCGTGAATGGTGTGACTATACGTGACTGGGACTGCATTTTAATGTTTTTATGTAGGAGCGCAAATGGAAGAGCTCAGTGATTTGTTGTCGGATTTATTTTGAAAGGGGTGAAGCGCCTCGAAATTTGGGCATTAGAATCGACTGTCTCTACTCTCTAGTCTCTGTCCTCTGACTTGTGTCGAGGTGCTGCCCGATAGCCGCCTATAAACTTAGCCTGTTTGGGCAGCCGGTTGAGCATTATAACTCTAATCGGTGTACTAAAACGGTGATCCTGTGTTACATGCCTTGGGCGCCCTCTTTCCAATGAGAAAATTCCGTTTTTTAACGAGAAATCCACGTTTAAAACTGTCTTATAGACATAGCGAGACCGAGTGTCCGTCTCATTCGCCGACTCACTGTCCTCACCAACTTCACACCATGACCCAGGGCCCTGTGAAGAGTCTCCGTAGTTATATCCAAGGCCATGTACATTGATACGGTATAGCTACGGTATATCGGTAGTAGGGTACCCTAACAGCCCTGGTCCAACTCGAAGGCGGTTTCTCCTGAGGAATAGACGGGCAACGCTCGACCGAGTCCCGAGATCGCGAGTCGGGACGAGACGAACCAAGGCGATAAATAGGTAGGTACCGGACGAACTAGATAAATAACGTTATGGTTTTATTTTCAGTGAATCTGGAAAAGTCCTTGAATTTGATGTAGGAATGAAATCAGAAATTGTGCCCCGATTACATTTTCTTTACTCATATTCGGAGACACGAAATATTTTTTGCTTTGTTGTGGTTCTGCTACCATATGAAGTGATATGGTAGCAGTAAAAAGAGGCATAAACTACGTGCTAGAGACATACCTGGGATTGCATCATAATCCGTCGAATGTAACCATTTATTAGTGATTATTATTTTCTCTTCACCTGGAGATCAAGCTGGGCGAAGATAAATAATATTCATATGGACCAAAGAAAAGCATAAGGTGCTTTAATCTAACCTTAGCTGTGAAATCACCTGACTAGCTATACTGAGCCAGTGCCCAGCCCCAGGCCCTGGCCAAACCAAAGCGCAAAGATCCAACTTCAAAGGTATGCAGTGCGCTGAGCTCTCATTTAAAATATATTGAAGTTTCATGTTTGAGTCAGAGACCAGAATATCAAGCTATTATTTTCATGTATTTGTCTTTGTTTTGCATCAGTTATTGCACTTGTAACTGTAAACTGTCATTGATGGTTCAGGTTGGTTGCAAGGGACATGAAATTTAAAGTTGACCCTTATTGTAGTATTTCATTGCAAAATTTTGTTAAGCTGGTCTTAAATCTGACCATAATTTATTTAATATTTTAAGTTGATAAATGATACATATTAGGTACCTCGACTCGGCCTGATAAGAAGGTTAACCATTATTGGCCATTCTTTCATCATGATGCATTAGGTATTTGTTTAAAGTTATTCAGACAGTTATAAAACAGGCGTCTTACTTGTTGTTGCAACCAAGCAGGGGCACTATACCCCAACTAAGATGCTTCTTTCTAATGAAACCAACACTAACCCTAACCTAACCTAACCTAACCTAACCCAAACAAACTGAAACATACAATCTGCAACCAGGAGCGGCGCCACGGGTTTTCGATAGGGGGGGACGGGGACGGGGGCTTCCCTGACCGAAAATCCTAAAAGTAGATACTGAATACTGATCGTGTATGCAAAAAAAAACGAGGCACGTAACGCCACGAAACTTCGCAAAGCCCAAAACACATCGAATGGTGCATCCCGTTTCCAAACTTATCCTAGGACACCTAAGATCGATCACCTTTTCAAGCATCCTTGCCTCTAAATCAAAATTTGCAGTCTTGCCAACTCAAAGCTGGTTTCCTACAAGCTGCGTACCTATTGCTTAGGTATGAGTAGCAGTGCCAACTATTCTTACGTTTCGTACTTTCAAATTTTCGATCTTACGTCTGGTCAGCTTCAGGGCTTCACCATCATATATGTAGTCATGGAGGAAAAGTGGGAATGTCTTCTGCTCTGACAAGTGCGCAAAAACTGCAACATAATTTCAGAATCATGACATCACCACCTGATCCATATGCAACGGGCAGGGTGCAGGTAATGGCTAGCCGTCAGTGGTCATGTCATCGGTGGTCACTCAAAAGGTCATGCTAGGTCATGGAAGGTCACCAGCCGTTATTTAATCACACTTTCTGATGGATTTTACTTACCAAGAGCTTCACGGGAAAAACGAGCGCATGCACCGTGGAAAAAATTGAGTGAAAGGGTCTCAGGTCCGGCGACCTCTGCAGGTGACATGCCCCAGGGTAGGATTCCAGTCCTTGTTGATTAACTTCGTCGAAAATGGCAGTAGAGCTGTGATGTCGGCACCATTGTGTTCGTCATGATCGAGCTGGCACGACCTGCATCGTTCTCATATTCACCCTCCAATCGTAACAACTACAGCAGGGATTGGCAAATGGCGGGGCACCCCCTTTGGGAGGTAATGAAGGTCTCTGGAAACCTCATCCCTCATCTCTTTAGCATTAGTGGCTCTCCTTATGGAACAGGTTTCTTGACTGGTCTGTTTCACTCCAGAATGCAAAGACTAGTCAAGGTAAAACCGAGCGCACCACAGTGAGCACAATTTCAATTTGATAAGCTGGTGTATCTCAATTTTCATGTAGAACCTTTCACGTATCACGTAGGGTTAAATGGCATAGATTTGCTGGGGTTAAATGGCATAGATTTCAAATGGTTCCTGTGGTAGAACTGCCATGCTTGAATTTGACTAATTAGGAATGGAAAATATCCATATAGTAACGGAAATCTATGGAATTTCAGTAAACTTGGTTTTGTCGGCAATGGGGTCTGGCAGTGGGGTGGGGAGGTAATTACTAGTGGTGCCAATTTCATGAAATTTCAATTCCAATTCCGATCCAATTCCAAGAAATTGCCAAGTAAATTTCCAATTTTGTCCAAAGCGGGGGCTATTCCAATTTTTAACGATTTTTGCATTTTTTGCGTAAATTTTAAAAGTGTTTAAAAGCGTTTTAAAGGCCTCCGTTTTAAAATTTTAAATTTTAAAGGCCTTGTGTTCCGATTAATTTCCAAAAAATGTTAAGAATTCCGTCCAAATTCCAAATTGGAATTGGACAAAAATTGGAATTCCAAGAAAAGAAATTCCGATTGGCACCAATAGTAATTACCCTGCCTGGCGCCCCAAAAAGGGGGGGGGCACGATCCCCGAGGCCCTGCCGATCACCTTCTAACTACAGGCATCACAGCTCCACACCTTTTGCAGATGGCCAGGACCCCCTGCGATACATCCCAACAGCAATCTTTATTCAGAACCTGCCTTGATTAACCAACGATGCATTAAATGCGACGGATAACTCTACAATGCATTATTATCAACTATTGAACGGGCCTCGCCGATAGGGGGGTACTGTACCCCCCTAACTTTCGATAGCGGGGGACCTGTCCCCCCCGTCCCCCCCGGTGGCGCCGCCCATGTCTGCAACATATAGCCTACAACCTGAAACTGACAGCCTACCTGTACCACCTTCAACCTACAAACCTACAACCTACATCTCTGAATGTAGTTCCTCTCCTTGCTTGCAAAAACGGAAATGTGATACCTACTTTATGACTATAATTATTTCTGATGGTTATGTAATCAATAAATTGTAAATTAAACCATCCAAAAATTGCTGCCGTGATATATAATTGATTCATAAGCATCAACTTTACATCTTCGATATAAATTCTGACTGAACTGCTGAATTTCTTGTCCTTGGGCTTTAGCTACATCAATCATAGCTTGGCTCTCACTTGCTAAATTTCCATAGCCACTTTTGATCTATATAGCCCAAAACCAAAATAAGCTTAGTGAAATTTATCTCAGACAAAAATTGGTAGGACTGCACTCCATTTGTACCACAGTTCTTTCTGGTCTAGAGTTAATGCAATTGTTTTGCTGAAAAGCTCATTCACACATGTTTCAATGATGATTTTTTTTTTTTTTTTACTGTCATGCCTTAGATGAGGCATAGTTATTGAAGATGTTGCTTACATAGGTTTACTGCAAAATATATGACATTCAGTTTGACCCCATGCTTTATCAGATGTTTCAAATAGTATAATTGTATGCTTGAATGTAATAAATAACACTCGAATTGATCCAGCATATGATGTAACATGCAGTTTCACCTCAAGTCAAAGAGAGTGTAATTTTATAGATTAATTGTTTAATTTTAACTTCCACTCATAAGTGTAGCCAAGGTATCCGGCATGCTTTACATAATTTGATGCCTGTAAAATCTGAGCCATTAATACCCTATTTATATTTTAGTTATTTTGTCATTCACAGTAGATATGGATGAGTTGTATCAAGCATGAAATTTGAAACAGGGCACACAGTGCTAACTGAGGTTCATTTGGGCGCATACAGAGCAAAAGCTTCACTTTGTTCCATGTTTTGGACTGTAACTCCTCTGACTTGCCCCAGTTAATTGTATGTAAGCTTTGACCACCCCTCTTCTGTCCGTCAGGCGCCCAGGTGTGATCAGCCATGGCGCTGTCGTCGTATTTCCGTCGTCACGGTCAGATGTGCGCCTCCCACCAGTGGGAGGTGATTGTCAGCATCATCACCTTCACCGTGTGCATGCTGACCGTCAACGACCGGCGCGCGGCTCTGCACTGGCCCGACCGGGCACCCTGCAAAATACCCCAGGTGAGGGATGAGCCTCCGGCACTAACAGCTCTGGTGTACTCGGTGTTATTTGTTTCCTTATACTGAGTAATCTCGCACTCGTGTCACCACCAGCTAACGTCGTACTGTTTCTTACCTCACCATATGCGCACAGTTCGTGTGCATGCGCTGACACCCTGGGTCCTCTGTGCAGGAGTATTTCGGTGCTGACGCCGTCGTGATGACGGCTGTACGCTGTATCGCCCTGCTCTACACTTACCACCAGTTCCGGAAGCTGCGCGCGCTCGGCTCCAAGTACATCCTCGGTGAGTGAGACACGCCGAACGGGGCTCATATCTTCTAGTACCCAACTGTTAGAGGGAGGGGGATGGAGAGAGTATTCTGTGGGAGGGAAGTGAACGGCTTCTTTTATTATGATGTGAAAATATTGCTGGGACTTGAGGAGTACAAGATCATGTTGACTTATGCAGTAGTCAATGTTGGGTGTTATTTTACCAGTTGTGACTCGCTGAAGGGTCTTTCCCATTCGCTGTTTGTCGTAGCCGAATGAGACATCCCATGTTTTCTTATCCTGGTCAAGTCCCGGTACTTCCCAACATCGCCTCATCACCGTGTCAAGTTGCTGTCCTGCGGTTTATTGTTCAAACGTTAGTGCTTCACTGCGGTTTGCTGGTCCCAAAGCAGTCACCAGTGACGCTGGACGAACTGAAATATGACAATATCGGTCACCGTCACAGGCCTGGCGGGACTTTTCACGGTCATCTCCACTGCCGTGTTCACATCGAGCATCATCAACTTCATGCACAGTGACATGACAGACCTCAAGTGAGTATGCGCTCGGCGCTTGTGGAAAACGCTGCGCAGCCATGGCACAGCTGACAGCGTGAGTTTGACAGGCAGTCAAGTACTGATTTGGGGGGGGGGATGGTCGCTTATTTACTGCACAAACAAGTATGGTTGTTTGTTTTTAGCAAGTTTGTTTTTCGCTACTTTTCTTAGTTTTCTCGTTACTACAGAATTTAAGCATTGCAAATGCCGTAGACCTGTTTATATCATATCACCTTTAACATTCCTCCCTCGTCTCTCCGCCGCAGGGACGCGCTGTTCTTTTTCCTGCTGCTGATCGACCTCTCCAAGGTGACGCGCCTGGCGCAGTACGCGCTCGCCTCGCGACGCCTGGACGAGGTCGAGGTCAACATTGCGCGCGGGATGCAGGTGCTGGGGCCTCAGATGACGCTCGACGTGCTGGTCGAGGTGCTGCTCATCAGTGTCGGCACCCTCTCAGGTCGGTCAGAGTGGGAGGGGCGGGCAGTGGGGTCGTGTGGGGCGGTTGGTGCAGTAGTTGCGGTAATTGTGACGCTGATACGGACTGGGCCGCTTGGAGACGGGACCGAGATGGGGCAGTGCAGGATAGCCGCGCGGGATCGCTTGGTAGTTAGGCGGTGATTGTTAATCATTGTGCCAGATGAGGATATTGATCTGTTCATTTACGCTCGTTCACATGTGATTGGACTGCCGTCGGTAGATTGCACTCAGCTCCGGTCTCCGCCCCTTACATAACCCCTGTTACTCGATCCCCATCTCGGCCGGGAACCACTGCCCTTCTCAGACGGGTCGCGGCTTTAGGAGCGAACTAATGCAGCTCGCTGTGACCGCTCCACTTCCGCCGCCGTCTGCCCGGTGACAACCAGTCCTACCACAGAGGTACCGATGTAGTCTCCTCCCCTCCTCTCTCCTCTCCTCGCTCTGTCCTGAGCCCGATGACGTAAACCGCAGTCAGTGTAATGTGTATCTCCGGGGCTAGCCGCAGAAGCCGGGTATCACGCTCTTTTCGCACTGGATAGTGGTTATCGGTATACGCCGTGGAGCGGTATTACCGTAGCGGATTTCTGTTTGGCGCCATCGGACACGGCCTCCGGTTGGACCCGGCGTCCCGGTAGTGCCGGTGACGTCAGAGACATGATGACGTCACCAGCGAGTAGTGTGACGCGCGTGGGGTGGGAGGGACGGCGGCGTTACGGCGGCGGCGGCGCGATGCTGGCAGACGCAGCTCCTTCAGTGACAGTTTTAGACGTTACGTAACATGTTGATGACATGCTGCGAACGATATCGGCTGTGATCAGGCGCCAAAAGTCGCCTGGTTAGAGAATGATTCTTTTTGTGTGGCGATTGATATGATGAAATGTGCAGTTTTTCCATATCATGGATGCAAATGTCAGCGAAGTTTACCCTCGCTGCCGGCATGAAAGTGGCGTAGTTCGAGCGTTGACGAGCGTTGACTTTTTGGCGCTGAACTGTGCTTCTGAGTCGACATGCTCGTAATGCTGTACTCAGCCTATACACTTATTACGTCATATACTAATAGTCGCCATTAGAAAGCCGCCTGGTGTGATATTAATAACCGTCGCGATCGGTCTGGTGGGGTCAGTAGGCCGATTGGTCCTAACTGGACCATATTTGCCAGTCCGACCGCCTCGTCTGACTGTGGTGTCCACTGCTCTCTGACCCGCAGGCGTGTACCGTCTGGAGGTGCTCTGCTGCTACGCCTGTATGTCTGCCGTCATCAGCTACCTCATGTTCATGACCTTCTACCCGGCCTGCCTCTCGCTCGTCCTCGAGGTACGCATCGTCTACCGTTTGTTCTAGCGCGGTTCCAGCGGACCTTTAGGCATCCTCTCCAGATCCAATGGAGTGGTCACCAGGCATAAACGCTGACCATCCTGAGTCTGTTAGATACGAACGGTAGGCCATGGGATTAGTAGTATTTTCTGAAATGCGTGTTTAGCAGTTGATTTGACGCATGCGATATCAGTGATCTGAGATGTTATTCATAGCGGTCAGCTTACTCAGTCACCCCCAATAGGTTACATGGTTGTTGGATTACTGGCTTAGGTTCCCTTAAATAGCCGCTTGCTGACGTCAGACCGTTGAATTGAATGTATGCCGGCACATGGTCCCTGTCATGGGGGCGCTATCGGATGGCTGATCCACTATATCGGGATCGGAGGGGCTATTTGGCGACGCTGGGGTCGGGAGGCCGCTTACCGTTATGAATCGTTACCTTAGTATGGTGTTGCTCGCTTGTCATTTTCGTGTATCTACCGATCGAGCCTCGATCAGGTCTCCTGCTAGTTCGTATGTAAATCGTCACTGATTTGTACATGCCCAATCAGAAGCCGCGCACTCTGCCGATATTCGCATGTTGATTGTTGATTCCACATTTCATTCCTGTATCTGATGGTCCGCCGACCCCCGTTACCCTGCCGGCGCTCCACCAAACTGACTGGGTTTGTTTTCACCCACCGCTGACCCCGGCTCGTTGCGTCTGCGCAGATGTCCAGCGACGTCGGCTCGGAGACGCAGCCGTGGCAGCTCAAGTCGCTGACCAACCTGCTGCAGGAGGACGAACAAAAGCCCAACATCGTCATCCAGCGCGTCAAGATCATCATGTCCATCGGCCTGACGTTCGTCCACTTTGTCAGGTGGGTGACTCTACGGGTGACCCCGGTGACCCAGTGCTGACCCCTGGTGACCCGGAGCTGACGTCAGTGACCTCAGAGCCGCCCGGCGGTGCAGTCACCGGCGTGCTGCAGGCGCGGTGTTACTATTCCCGTACAGAGTTACGCCAGCGGCCGTCCCGTTTGGGTCGCTCGGGCTGTGAAGGGTTCGACTGGTATCTGATGGTCGATGTCCGGGGGCGGGCCGACGGTGCTGCCGCCTGGTGGGGACCTGGGCGGTGACCCTGCGGCCGCTCCGGTCCGATAACAGTCTGGTGTTATTCAGTAACCGCCGGGGGCTGTGTGCTGTGCGGTGAGCAGTGCCGCGCGTCTGCATGTACCAGCAAGGGATGGTGATGCCCTCTCCCGGAACAGTGACCCACCTCAGCTCTGTGCCGGCGGTTATATCTGATGGAAACTGAGTGGATTTGGGGTAATTTGTCAGAAGTGCAGCAGTTACCCCAGTGTGGACTGAGTCAGCGCCCAGTGGCTGCTATTAGGTAAAATTTCACTAATCTCGTCAGCGATTCAGCCTCGGCCGATTTGATGTGTCTGTCTGTTTCCGAAGAAGTGAAAGTGTTCTTGCTCTCGGGTGTGCCATGCGTGCTTCCCATCCTTTAAATACAGCTGGGCTCTGTTTTGTTAACGCTCCTCTTAATTTGCTCGTAATTATGATGTCTTTTACTGCACTTGTATCTGCCATGGTTGTATCGCTAATTTTCCACAAGCCAAATAGTTAGATGCTCCACTCCACCTGAAATATGCGATCATGTTTCCGTGCCCACCTTCTAACACGGTTCAGTGTTCTGTGCAGCCTGTGCTATGGCTCGTCCCGCGTTGGACGCGAGACACTAGGTCCGTCAAGCCACAGCCGCTAACTGCCGTTTGTCCACCTGTCCACAGCGCTGGCCGTCGTTTGTCCACCTGTCCACAGCCGCCAACCGCCGTTTGTCCACCTATCCACAGCCACTGACCGCTCTTGTAAACTGTCCACAGTTACTGACCACCCGTGTCCACCCTGTCCACAGCCGGTGGCCGAGTGTGTCCACTGATACTGACCGTTCTGTCCACTCTCTGTCCACAGCCGGTGGCCGAGCGTGTCCACTGACGCGGTGGACTCTGTGTTCGGCGCCGCCGCCGGTCCCGGTAGCTGTGACGCGCCCATCCCTAGTCCGTACAGCGTGCTGCTCAGGTCAGTAACTCGCCATCCTCCGCGGCTGGTAGCTCTAACAGCGATCCTTTGAATGGTGCTCACCCTGTCTCTCAGATCTCTGCATTCGTCCAAAGCTGATTTGGAAATGCACTCAGTCTGTAGCCGTCAACCATAAGTTTATTGCATAACTCTGCATTTGTGAGGACCTGGTTGTGAATAGTAGCTTCCTCGCGTGTTGCGTTTGACGGAGATTAGATGTTTTGATGTTTAAAGAAGGATGAAAGTTGAGTTCGTATTTGCTGCTTGTTTCCATGTAAGCATTTATCATTTGGTCTTACCACCAACCGGCACTGACCCGTGTGAACTCCTGTGACCCGACCAGGTGGATGAGTGTCAGCGCCGAGCACCTGGTGGTGCTCATTATCGTGGTGGCGCTGGTGGTCAAATACGTGCTGTTCGAGGCGCCGGACGCCGAGCAGATCCAGCTCAAGGTCCAGGCAGAGGACCAGGCCATGCGTGAGTGCCGGGACGCGGGACACGCTGCCGTGCAAAGGGCAAACCTACTATGTGAGGTCAGACTGACCTCACATAGTAGTTTTTGCCTTTGCATGGCCCCACAGCTCCCAGTCTGGGGTTTGAGGTGCGGGCTGTGTGCCGACCGCGGGCCGCCGGCTGGGGGCTGTGTTACGGGTGTATGTGTGGGCCGCGGCTGGGGTCTGTGCAGCTAGTGGGGTTTTCGTTTGGCTGTGTTTAGCAGGACGAAACTGCGCCGTTTGAGGGTTTGTCTGAGTCGACTATATGAAGTACAACGTCAGTAGCAGTTGCAGCTGCGCTTGAATGTGTTTGCCAGTGCCAGCTAGCGTGACTGTCGTTTTGCCGATCAGAAATAGCGACCCGTGAGGCAAACAATGAGCTGACGGTGTCGCTGTACCGAAGCCATGTCGTAATGTGTTTACACCGTGGGTTGACCCGAGTGTATAGCCTCAAGCGGTTCTATATCCTGAGGTGTGTGCGACTGCATCCGTCAATGTTTCTTGTCCTGCCGTAATCCTCCGTGCATCGTGAACTGCTGCCGCCAAATGCTGAGAGGTCTGTTGATCGGTCGATCGCCTGTCGTGTGTGTTCTTTCACTGTCCATCGGACCTTGCCACGTACGGCTGTCCATCCAGTCTGGCAATGTCTTACCCGCTCATGTATCACCTTCCCTCCTGCAGTCGGCAGTAACCTCCCCTCCTGTGCCACAGTTCGCGCGCTGCGTCCGCAGCTGCGCCGACGCTGCACCTCTGTCCTCATCACCGAGGACTCTGACGGGGAGGTCAAGGTGGACGAGCTGCCGCCGCCGGCCGCCTCCTCTGACGCCAGCTGCCAGACCCCCGCGTTCACCGGCGCCGAATCCGCCGCCGAGTCCGCTGCGGAGTCCGCTGCGGAGGAGGGTACCGCGGCGGCGGCCGGCGGAGAGCGGGAATCGGAGGGAGAGGAGCCAGCCGAGCCGGCGCCGCCCCGGACTCTGGACGAGTGCGTCCAGATACTTGAGGTGAGTGGGGTGGGAAGGGGGAGGGGTGGGGAGCAGACGGCTGAGGGGATGGGTGGCTTAAGGTTAGATAGTCTGATGGCTGTTGATTTGGAGAACTAAATATTTGAACGATTGTTAGGTGTTCATGTACTGCGATTATAATTATGTTAAAATATTTGGAATCTTGATGTGAAAGCCCGACCTACAATTGTGCACAGTTTCACCATTCTTCTCCCTCTGCTATGATTGCAATGCAAGTCCAGCTGCCGGCCAGCCTCCCCCCCCCCCCCCCCCCCACACACACATGCTCTGTAATATCTCACTCACCTGTCTTGCTTGACCGCCGTCAGGACGAGGGTCCGGACGCGCTCTCAGACGCCGAGCTGCTGGTGCTGCTGCGCGCGCGCAAACTGCGCGCCTACCAGCTGGAAGCGCGCCTGGGCGACGCGCAGCGGGCCGTGGCCGTGCGCCGGCAGCACGTGACCGAGACGGGACGGCTGGCCGACGCGCTGGACGAACTGCCGCACCAGGGCTTCGAGTACGAGCGCGTGATGGGCGCCTGCTGCGAGAACGTGGTGGGCTACATGCCGCTGCCGCTGGGCGTGGTGGGGCCGCTGCTGCTCGACGGCCGCCAGTACTACGTGCCGTTGGCCACCACCGAGGGTACGTGAGGGGAGGGGTGGTAGAACCGGAGCGAGCAGAACCCGTGGTTTTACTTAGCTTTAAGCAACTGTATAGATTGGAAGTGCTGCTCGTTTAATTTGATTCAAAGTGTTACTGTAGTGTCTGTTGTCGCCATGAGATGATTGTTGATCTCTTTATTTGTTGGTTTGACATGACCTGTCCCCACGGTTATCTTATCTACACTGTGCTCAATTGTGTTCCTGATCCTCAGGAGCGCTGGTGGCGAGCACCAACCGCGGCTGTGTGGCCGTCAGAAAGTGTGGCGTCAACAGCTACATCGTGGGTGACGGGATGACGCGGGCGCCCGTCATCGAGTGCCAGTCCGCCAGACAGGCCAGGTCAGACTGCCGCGCGGACGTGGGACTGCGGGGGGACTGTCGGGGCGGGTGGGTGGCTCTGTGAGGACGATAGCCAGCCTCTAACACGAAAGAGCCAAGATGTTTTCCTCGCCAAGGTTTCGAGCCCTTGGAGTAATTTCATAATGTGGGTCGTGAAGAGGATGATGCGTCGGGAAGTCGCTGGCGTGTATTTTGACGTTATGCAAGCGGCGAATGTTATTTGAAAACGTGTGTGGAAACTGGGAGCGTTCATCCTTATCATAGTTGACGATCAAGTATCGTGTAAAAGTCAGCAAAATTGGGTTTGGGGCTGTCCGTATGAAAAACGTTTTGGACAACCGGAACTTGGCCATATTTTCAAGACGTTTATGGCACGCTTTCTAGAAAATTATATTCGGTTCTCGTAAAAAAATGTTTTGGGACAAAGTGAGGGCAATAATTTTGCATTATTCACGCGCTTTCAACTATGTTTGCGCTGCTCTGCTATGGGGTTCGCTCATCCGCTTGTTAAGACCAAGATGTTAAGACGTTTATTCATAAACGTCACTTATGATACACACAAGCCCGTTAATCTAATCGACCGTTATCAGCTTGATGGTGCTCAAGACTGTCTTCAATTATTTGTTCACTAAGGCACTGTACAGTGTATAATGAACAGTGTTCATAGGTATCATTCTGGTAACATTCCAAGCTGGAACATCACCTCTTCCACACCCTTCATATGCCCTCGATCCCCAGTAAAACGGTTGTGACCAGCGGCGTCTGTTACGTTGAGATCGTAGATCGCTGCGATATATGTGAGATCAGTGTGTTACCACCTGCCACTTTACCCCGGCAGTGAGATCACTGTAAGGTCGCTAACCACCTCACCACTTGACCCGGCAGTGAGATCCCTTAAGGTCGCTTACCATCGCGCCACTTTGCCCCACAGTGATATCACTGTGAGATCGCTTACCATCGCGCCACTTGACCCGGCAGTGAGATCCCTTAAGGTCGCTTACCATCGCGCCACTTGACCCACAGTGAGATCACTGTGAGATCGCTTACCATCGCGCCACTTTGACCCACAGTGAGATCACTGTGAGGTCGCTTACCACCTCGCCACTTTGACCCGGCAGTGATATCCTGTACTGGCTGGAGACGACCGACGGCTTCCACGCTGTGAAGGCGGCCTTCGACTCGACGTCGCGGTTCGCCCGGCTCAGCAAGGTCGAGGTGAACATGTTCGGTCGGCAGCTGTTTGTGCGCTTCGTGGCCAAGACTGGTGACGCCATGGGCATGAACATGGTCTCCAAGGTGAGAGAGAGGGAGGGAGGGAGGCAGAGATAGAGAGAGAGGGAGTGAGCACACATTGAGAGCAGTGCTCTTGGGTGTGATTTAGGAGGTGCCGGTGGGCTAGGTTCTGAGTGAAATGCATTGGACAGAGTTTGTAAAAAAAAAAAATGTTGTTGAGTGATACTATTTAAGGACGTTTGCAACATTTCGTTTCTTCTCGTCTTCTAAATCTACCGAATGTCTTATTGGCACTCTTTGTCGCGCTCCCTGATCCAATGCACACATTGATCGCTCAATGTTTGTAGCCGCCTGGCGTCCAATTTTAGTCCCTATGGTTACAAAGCCCCTCTCTTTGCGTCCCGGCAGGGTACGGAGAAGGCTCTGGAACACCTTCAGGAGACGTTCCCCGGCATCTTTGTCACGAGCGTCAGCAGCAACGTGTGCACGGACAAAAAGCCGTCAGCCATCAACTGGTGAGCCGAGGGACGGCACTGGGGTGGGGGGGGGGGGGGGGTTCGTGACCAGGGCCCAATCTCACCAAGTGCGGTAAACTCAATTTGGGGTAAAATACCAAACTACCCCACTCCGTAACTACAAAAATACTACCCCGAAATTAGTTAAACTAGCTTGGTGAGATTGGGTCAAGTGTCCAACCTCGCCAAGTTGTATTAAGTATTAACTAATATTAACTAATTTCGGGGTAGTATTTTTGTAGTTACGGAGTGGGGTAGTTTGGTATTTTACCCCAAATTGAGTTTACCGCACTTGGTGAGATTGGGCCCGGGAGGGCACCGGAGGGGGAGGGCAGACACCGGTGAAGGTGGTTTTGTGTGTGAGTTTGAACAAGTCAGTTGATGACAGTAACAGGGCAGTGATTACTGTAGTTCGGTTGCTTTACGACGTACTAACGGAGTGCATTGAGTCCGTTTCGGGCCGACTCCACTGTAACTTCGGAGTTTTCGGTATTGGTCGATAGGCTGTGTGTGATTCACTGACCCTCCCCTCCAACCGTCAGGACGCGCGGCCGCGGCAAGTCGGTCATCTGCGAGGCCGTCGTCCCGGCGGAGGTGGTGACCAGCGTGCTCAAGACGTCGGTGCCGGCCATGGTGAACCTGTGCATCAGGAAGAACCTGATCGGCTCGGCGGTGGCCGGCAGCATCGGCGGCAACAACGCGCACGCGGCCAACATCGTCACGGCCATCTACATCGCCACCGGACAGGTAACGGCAGTAGCAATCCGCGGCTGTCAGCCCAGTCCTACCGGACAGGTAACGGCAGTAGCAATCCGCGGCTGTCAGCCCAGTCCTACCGGACAGGTAACGGCAGTAGCAATCCGCGGCTGTCAGCCCAGCTGTTCTACCGTTTACGGAGCTGTGCCGCTTTTCAGAGACTTATTAATTTTCATATTGTTGCATGTGCTAAGACATTTATTCATTCTAAAGCGTGAATTCGTCATGGATAGCAAATTATTTATGATGATCAAATAATGATGTTATAAAGCTTGAATTCAACTGCTCGGACCACCCCACATACCCGTCACCCATACAACCCCCACCCCACCCGCTACCCCCCCCCCCCCCCCTCCTACCACCGCCCTCCCCTCCACCCACTCACCCCCTGCCTCCCTCCCCGCCACCAGGACCCGGCCCACCCGCTACCCTTCCACCCCTCCTACCACCGCCCTCCCCTCCACCCCCACTCACCCCCTGCCTCGCTCCCGGCCGCCAGGACCCGGCCCAGAACGTGTGCAGCAGCAACTGTATGACGCTGCTGGAGCCGTGGGGAGAGACGGGCGAGGACCTCTACGTCACGTGCACAATGCCCTGTGTCGAGGTGGGCACCGTGGGCGGCGGCACCATCCTCAAGGCGCAGAGGGCCTGCCTCAAGATGCTCGGCTGCCAGGGTGAGTTCAGAGGCCAGCGGGGCGGGCTATGATTTTGGTCACAGGCATTGTTCGTAACAAAGTAATCAACAATATCATGAACCACTTTTAACATGCATCAAATCCTATCAATATACCCCTCACCGACCAATACACTCCGTAACTGAACACTACTCTTACCAGCGATCGCTGTGCTCTTTAACCCCTTCTCCCTCGACAGGAGCCAACAATGGCCATAACGCCCGCCAGCTGGCCGATATCGTGTGTATACTGTATAACCGTCTCCCTCTGTCTGTGTATAACCCTCCGCTCCGCCTCCGACAGGCGCCAACACGGATTGCCCCGGCCACAACGCCCGCCAGCTGGCCGATATCGTGTGTTTACTGTATAACCCTCCGCTCCGCCTCCGACAGGCGCCAACACGGATTGCCCCGGCCAGAACGCCCGCCAGCTGGCCGATATCGTGTGTATACTGTATAACCCTCCGCTCCGCCTCCGACAGGCGCCAACACGGATTACCCCGGCCAGAACGCCCGCCAGCTGGCCGATATCGTGTGTATACTGTATAACCCTCCGCTCCGCCTCCGACAGGCGCCAACACGGATTGCCCCGGCCAGAACGCCCGCCAGCTGGCCGATATCGTGTGTATACTGTATAACCCTCCGCTCCGCCTCCGACAGGCGCCAACACGGATTGCCCCGGCCACAACGCCCGCCAGCTGGCCGATATCGTGTGTATACTGTATAACCCTCCGCTCCGCCTCCGACAGGCGCCAACACGGATTGCCCCGGCCACAACGCCCGCCAGCTGGCCGATATCGTGTGTATACTGTATAACCCTCCGCTCCGCCTCCGACAGGCGCCAACACGGATTGCCCCGGCCAGAACGCCCGCCAGCTGGCCAGTATCGTGTGTATACTGTATATTGTATAACCCTCCGCTCCGCCTCCGACAGGCGCCAACACGGATTGCCCCGGCCAGAACGCCCGCCAGCTGACCGATATCGTGTATAACCCTCCGCTCCGCCTTTGACAGGCGCCAACACGGATTGCCCCGGCCAGAACGCCCGCCAGCTGGCCAGTATCGTTTGTATACTGTATGACCCTCTCCGCTCCGCCTCCGACAGGCGCCAACACGGACTGCCCCGGCCAGAACGCCCGCCAGCTGGCCAGTATCGTCTGTGCCACGGTGCTGGCCGGTGAACTGTCCCTGATGGCCGCGCAGAGCGCCGGACACCTGGTCAAGAGCCACATGACACTCAACAGGTGAGTGACGCGAACCGCTGACCGACGCGGCAGGGGCGGGGTGTCCGCCGCACCCTGGTGGTGTCCTGACTGGGGTCCGTCCGTCAGTGTGTCATAAAACGGGTGTGTATGGTCAGCTGAATAAGTTAACTTTCCTGTCATGTGTACATATGTTATCAACCGTTGTGACCTTTATTATCAAACGGGTTGTTACGTAATTTTATGAAAGACATGGTTTTCTGTATTTGTAAGGAAAAAGAAAGGTTTGAATGTTCAGCGACTTGCCGTGTATCTTACGCGTCACCTGTTTCGTGTTATGCGATCTCTGCTCCTTCTGAATCGGACGTTTTGGTCTCTTCCCTCCGCAGACAGCGAGCTCGTGACGTGAGTCGAAAAAAATGAGGCGTAAACGCTCTTGTTTGGTTCCGTGACTGTGTTTTGTTGTTGAGATGTGCCTTTAGTGATGAATGTCCCACAACAGGCAATGCTTGCACATTCTTGGCTTCCATATATTTTCAATCCTTCTCCCGTAGTGATTGCTAGAACTTTACCCCGATTGTGACTTGTCTGATAATTCACACATGTGATGAAAACGAAACTGACGTTTGATATGTGGCCTTGGTCGTCATCAGTGACGATGATACGGCAGAACTAATTGCACGGTTAATTTAACCCTCGCCCATGTAGGGGGGTTGGTGCAACCCCCCCCCCCCCCTGAGGCTTTTCGGAAATAGTGCAAAAACGGCGGCGCTGCGCGCCGCCAAATTTTGGGTACCTTATGGGGCAAACCTTGCGCATCTTTTGATAACAAAAAAATTTGACCGGGTCATGTCAGGTCACGGAGTTATGACGTCACAAAGGGAACAGCCTCCGGCCGGATTTTCACAAACTGAGTGCCAACGCCCGAGGTTTCCTGCCGGTGGTACGGACATCGGTTGATGGATCGTTATGAAACTTCCCATGCATGTTGGGGCAAGTATTGGCTATCATATGGTATAAGAAACTTGACCGGGTCAGGTCAGGTCACAGAGCTATGACGTCACAAGAGGAACAGCGTCCGGTACTATTTTTGAAAAGCGCCCGAACCACTATTTTGCTAATTCTTGTCACCTCAATGGGAATATGCTGCAATATTAGCTTCTATAGGGAGCAAATGGACCTCCCAAATCCAAAAATACAATCAGATTTCAAAAATTTAAATTTTGATTTTTCGAATTTCTGCCGCCGACTGTGACCTTGCCGACTTCCGGCGCTCCCAACGCGCCATTTTTAGAGCTAGGGAAACGAAATACATACCAAACGATAGGGTAGTGAGCCTAAAATGAGTATAGTTTTACATTATCAGTTAAATATATTCAAAACTAGAAAGGGTGTGAATAATGGCTATATGGGACATTGACATTACGTGTTCTGACTACGACGTCCTATGTGGCACAACGGTGTCAGACGAGCGGTTGTTCTGTAATAATTGCATCTTCTGACCAATGTCGGCTATACTCATTTTTTGCTCCTTCGCAAAAAATGAGTACAGTTGTTTCAACGCTCTATTGTGCCTAATCTGCTGGATTTGCGACGCTGAAATTCGCCTGGAACGTGGATATGAAATCGGTGTTGCTAACAATATAAGTATTGAAATGTAAAAAAATCAAGAAAATGTATTACCGGTCGTTTCAATTTATTAAGACACATAGATGACTTGAGCAGACAACAACACAACCGACAATGGCCACAACACCAACCACGGTCACAGTGGCGTGGCGAACGGGCACCGCCACATTTCCAAAAGCCTGCGTGAGCTTAATTACCCCCTCTACTTCGATCGAGTCGTCAGTTTGGTCACTTTTCGCTTCGCGGATGGCTTCTCGATCTTGTGCGACGAAGACCGCTTCTTTCCCTTCTCTTCGCGTTTCTTGGAGAGTTTCCTGTCCTGCTGTGACGACGGAGACTTCTTCCCTTTCTCTGCGCGCTTCGCCGCCTCCAGCTCGAGCCTCTGCAGAGAAGACTCTGACGTCAAGACCTCGCCGCTCTTGTTTTGAACTCGGCTGCGGCGTTTCGTCTTGTTGGCCAGGGCCGCCTTCGTCTCACTTGACTGTTCCGGACTGAGAACACTGAGCACAGCATCCTGGAGCGCCTCATCAGGTGACGGGATGTCATCACGTGACGTGCTCCCGGGTCCCACCATCCGGCTGCGAACCTTCTCAGCGTCGACTGGGAACAGACCCGAGCCGCGGAATCCGGCCACGGCGTGGACCGGATCCAGTTCCTTCCACAGCTGGGAGATGAGAGTCGGGAACACCGACTTGTCGACAGCGACGAGTCGTGACTCACGCTGCCACCGCTTCAGGATTTGCGCCCAGGCGACCTTGACCGGCTTGAACACGGCGACGTCGAGAGGCTGGATGGCGTGACTGGTGTGTGGCGGAAGACATACCACCGTGATGTTGTTGTCCTTCGCAAGCGCTGCTGTCCGATACGTCATGTGGGATCCGTGACCGTCATAGACGAGCACTGTGGGCTGACCATCATGCTTCTTGGTGATCTCTGGGACGAAGATGGTCTGGAACCAGCTCTCGAATATGTTGCCCTCCATCCAGCCTGACGGTGTCGTCCCATAGGCCGTTCCTGGCGGTCCGCCACGCATCCACGAGTCAAAGGGCTCACGTTTGGCCTTGTAGACGACGAAGGGTGGGAAGTAGCTTCCAGTGGCGTTCACGCAGAAGAGGACGCTGTATGTCGCCTTACCACAGCTGGCCGTCTTCAGGTAGGCGTCACGGGACTTGCTGGGGACGATGACCCTTGTCGAGCGCGGATCGGTCGAGAATCCCGTCTCATCGAGGTTGTAGATGTTGTCCGGCTTGTCCTCGAGTCCCAGGTCGACGAGCACCCCGTTGTACATGGAGAAGAAGGCGCCAACCACTTCCTCTGTCAGAGACTTGGCACGAGTGATGGTGAGGATCTCCGGTTTGCGCGACGCGAGGACACCGGCGTGACGAGCCTTGAAACGTGACAGCCAGAAGCGGGTGGGCCTGTTGTCCTTCCACTGCGTCTCTCTGCCGAGGTTGTTCAGGAACTGCTGGACCAGATCGCAGATGTCACTGGTGTCCAGTGGAAATGCTTGGCGGGCGAGGTAAGCGAGGATTTCCACCAGCTTGTCCTCTTCGGTCCTCGTCAGCACCGTCGGTCGCCCAGAGCCAGTGGAGCCGGTGACGTTGATGCCGAAGATGTGACGGCGGAGCGTCTCGTACGGCACGCCGGTGTCCTTGGCTGCCTTGTAGACGGTGAATCCATCCGCGACGAGCTTCTTCGCTCTGCCCAGATCTTCCTCCGTGTATTTCGGCATGACGATTGGTGCCACCTGACAAAAAAGAGGTCATTGTTTAATAATTCGTGCCAGGAATGTGCGCGTTTACACCAGTGCTTTTGAATCAATGACGACGATACTCGGCAGGCAGAGGCCCGCAGCTCAGGTCGGCAGGTCCTTCAGCAGGTCCCGTATGACCAAACATTACCCAATATATCAAGAGTTCTGAGGGCATACTAAATTGCGAACCGCTACAAACCAGAATGATTACCTGATATAATTTTTTTTAAAAGTTGAAATCAGATTGTAAGCAATACACAACAAACTATCACTGAAGGAGAATCCAAGACTAATGCCATTCAAAACTCACCAGTTTTGCCGTATGCCAGCAGGACACGCGCACGAGACGACGATCAGTGCAAAAAGGACGCGAAAAGCTCAGCCGACCCTCGGAGTCACCTCTGTCGCCGGAAACGCCTCCTGATTGGTCGAGCCGGTGCTGGTCACGTGACAGGTCACAGTGCCATTTCCGGTGACTCCCGATTGGTGGAGAGGGCACTGGTGGTCGCAGATCACATGACGTCACATCCGGTTGTACGGTATTTCGCCAAAATGGCCAGGAGTAGATAAAGCAATTAATGTCACCGCTTAACTATAAAAAAATAAAATAATAATAAAAAATAAAGGAAAAGAAAAAAGAAAAAAAAGATCGGTGACTGAAGCTCAAGCAAATGAGAATCGACCGAAACGAGTTCCAACGCTTACCGTATCGCGCTTACAAATACGCTGCAGCGTCAGTCATTGTGGCCATCGAAGATGGCCGGTAGAACGTAATCATAACCAAAATAATCCCGGAAATGTCTTTGGGGGCGATATTTAGCAGGCGGTGGAGTAGCCATGCTCAAATTCACACTTTTCATACTATACTCATTTTTTGCAACACTTTGTGGAACTATACTCATTTTATAGAAATTTACAAATGCTAAAATTTTTGCATTACGCTTTCGAATTTTCGATTATTTTTTACGGCTGCCAGCAAGCTCAGTGCATGAGACAAACAGCTGAAAAGGTAAAATTGTTTCAGCAGTGCACATATTTTCACCAGGCTTCACTTTTTAGCATGTACTTTTTGTGACATTTTTGAAAAAAGCATTCAATCATTTTTCAGACCAAAGTCGCTTGACATTTGGCGACGGACGTATTTGCAACTGTTGCAGTAGACCTTCGGACGCACTGTGTATTTTTTTTCTTATTTTTGTTCAAAATAACTTTGGCGTAATGCACATTTTCCAAAACTATACTCATTTTTTGCGTATACTCATTTTAGGCTCACTACCCTAGAGAATTGATCAAGGAACACGATAGTGAAGGTTTCAAGTCGATATCTCCCACCGTTTTGCCGCAATCGCCGCCGAAAGTTGAAAAAGTCTATTTTTCCGAAAATTTGACCTTTGACCGGTCAAAAGTAGGTCAAATGTTGACCTAGGACCAAAAAATATACCACCAATCGCGAGACCTCGGCGAGAGCAATCCGTTGGTCTTTTCCGCTAAGCTCTACGACGCTCCGTTTTCAAACGCCAAGGGGGGGGGGGTCGCACCAACCCCCCCCCCCCCCCTGCATGGGCGAAGGTGGCAGATCGCCGTTTACGGGCGAGGGTTAACATCCATCCGGTTGTCAGTATAGCACCACTGCTATTTCTCCGTTACTTTTACGCTGCCGTGTGTGGAATGTGACAGCATATGTTTAATAGAGTGTACCTTTATTCGCTACGTCTTCCATTTGCATGATTGATGCATGAAGCTGATGTGACCCTGAAGCGGGACAAGTAGGAAACATGTTCAACTGTTGCAGCTCACCCTGCATACGCCTCCCGTATCGTCTGCTCACGTGCTGTCTGTGTGTTCCAGGAACGCGACTCCGCGCACCAGTCGCCAGGAGGCGCTCAACCGCTAGCCGAACGATGCACCATTGGCTAGCCGAATACTGTGCGCCGGCCAAACGGGTGTCCATCTCCCTCCCAGCGGAAGGAGCGCCCTTTCTGATCGCAGCCGCCGGGCCCCGGTAAGACCTCTGCACCTACCGACGACCGCGGAACGGATCGCCAATGACGGGCTTCCAGCACCTGTGTTCAGCGCAGGGGCACGGCGACGACCGGCCGTCCCTCTGATGGACGGAGTCTCGGGTCGATGGGGGGCGAGGAGCAGACTCCACTGTGCCTGCAGGACGCCCCAGGCCGAGCAGGTGCGTGTCAGTGTCAGGGAACGACCATGACCCAGCGGGTGTAAACGCTGGACGGACGGTGACTACTCGCCGGTGTGTGCCCGTGAGAGTTCCGGGTGTACGTCACAGACTCTGTGTGAGAGCACGAGTGAAGAACGGGTTTTAGCGGAGAGAGAGGACTCCGGGGAGAATGTGTTTGCCAGAGTCTGGCCAGGGAGTGCGCTGTGTGTGTGTGTGCGTGTGCGTGCGTGCGCGCCTGACCGCTGGCCGGCGGGCGGTGCGCGCGCCTCGTCAGCCTTCCTCTGCCTGTCTGTTACTGTGGGGAGGCCGCCAGTGCCTGTGTAACCGCCGGTCAGGTCAGGTCAGGTCGTGTCGGCCGTGGCGGCGGGGCGGGTCCCTTGGAGCACCGGCCGGCGGCAGTAGTGGCGCCTGCTCAGGCTCGGGAGTGTCTTTCATCCCGTTAGTTCCAAAGCGGTATGTGTGAGATGATCGAGATCCAGGTCGTAAGTAGAGATATTTCTTAGTCTTAGCGTTCGTAGCTTTATTTTCGTGATTTTCGTGGGTTTGGTGTATACTGTACCGGTATGGCTGCCTTCCTCAATGTACGGTTTTCACGTAAGATATTAGAGGATGTTGGCTGGCTTATTGAGCAGACCTAGTTTTGATGTATGTTTTATTGTTAAGGGTAGTGCGCCATTTTACATGTGAGATGTGATGGAAACCACACCGCGCAGCTATGCTGTTATTTATTTATTTATCACGGATTTTGACATTTCTGAAGGGGCGCTCACTGTTTTATATTTATCTGCGACCTCGCTGTTTGGACGTTTTATTACAACTGATTTTCCACGAGCTGAATTTGAAAATAAGAATTCTGTTTTGACTGTTATGCACTAATGTCAGGTAAGGTCGATCAAATGCTAAGTTATTGACGATAATTTTTTAGTCTGATTAGTTAATCTAATTAATGTGTGAAGCTCTCTGCGTCTCAATGCGTAAGTGCGTACAACCATTAAAGTTAGTGCATACTCTTATGTTTGCGAGAATACGAACAACGCTATTCGAATGCGAGAATACGACCGATGTCTTGTGCTCTCCGCTGTGCCCCGGTGTCACACAGCTGTGTCTGTCCGGTGTAACATCATGTCGACCCGGTGTGTCCTGAGACACTGTGTCGGCCCGCTGTGTCCCGGTGACACTGTGTCGGCCCGCTGTGTCCCGGTGACACTGTGTCGGCCCGCTGTGCCCCGGTAACACTGTGTCGACCCCGGTGTAGCACCATGTCGGCCCGCTGTGTCCGGTCACAGAGCAGGTACCGGCCCCGCTGTGTCCGGTCACAGAGCAGGTACCGGCCCCGCTGTGTCCGGTCACAGAGCAGGTACCGGCCCCGCTGTGCCCGGTCGCAGAGCAGGTACCGGCCCCGCTGTGCCCGGTCGCCCGCCGCGCTGACACCGTCCGTGCCGAGATCTGACCCCAGTGCCGGTGAGAGTGTGAGAGGGTCGCCACGCGAATCTGTTTCAGTCTTTGACACACAGTCGAGACTATGCGGCTGCGGCCAGCAGTCAACACTGGATCTGTATTTATTTTGGCATAACTTAATACACAGCCACTGATGCTATGCTATAACATGTTTGTGAACAGACTGTCCCCAGTGTTGTATCGGTGCAAACGGAGCTGTGTTACATGAAGGGAGACCACGAGAGAGGTGTTCGTCACCACAGTCCATGTACGCAGATTTAGCCCGGGCTCTGCCCAGATTCGGGACGCCTCAGATCCACCTGAAACGTTGGCTGCGCTGCGAGCGATTGCAAAAAAACTCAGGGGTGGCACCTACTCCCGCACGCCGCAAAAGGGTTCAGGCTGTAACACTGTATTGCAATTAAAAATGAAGAATGACCACAATGATAAAACCTCATGCAAAACTCAATTAACTGTTAAGTCTACAATTTTTCGCCAGCTAAGGCAAATGCCACTTAGACACACAAATAGCCATCTGCAACCAGCTTAGCATGTCGTGCATATCACCACTCACCGGCACCCGATCGACCGTGCCTCGAGAAAGCAACGCATTGTCAGCATTGCTGCACTCTTATTCCTGACCGGTGCCTCGCGGCAGACGCTGCTGAGACCAGCACTTACCAAATAGGGTGGTATTCGCAGACGTGGCCTTTAAACGCGCCACAAGGTATGGCTCTGAGGAAATAATGTGAATTGTTCATACCGAGGCAGTCGTTGTCTTCATTGGCAGAGCCGTAAGCGGTCACAGGCAGAGTCACCACCTCGCCGGTGACAATGTCTCGGTAGACCCGCTCTTCCTCGACGTCCCAGATGCCAATGACCAGGTAGGCAGAGATGTGCCTCAGGACGCCGGTCCGCAGGTCTCTGAACTGGGCGGCCGTGCGCGGACTGGCCGGCAGCGCCTCCGGGTCGTACTCCCGGCAGCTGGCCACGATGGCCTCCTTGCCGCCCTGCAGGTCCAAGAGCCGCGCCCGGTAGGCGACCGTGGGGTCCTTGCTGCGCACGAAGCCGGCCGGCAGCGGCGGCTGGTAGAGCGGCTCCATGTCCGCCGTCAGCGGGTTATCGGCCGAGTGGAGCGGCCACAGTCGGCACAGGCCCGAGCCGTGGTCCCGGCTGAACTTGACGCAGGCGGGCGTGTGCAGGCAGCGCCGGGCGCACTGCACCAGCGACCCGAACTCCTCTGCCAGTGGCTCGCGGGCGTGCTCCACAATGTAAGAAAGGTAGTGGAAGGTTTCCACGGCGCCTCGAGCTGACGCCAGTGACAGCAGGAGCAGCAGCGCCAGCGGAGGCAGCTTCAGCGGGCTGGGGCAGCGGCGTGCTTTTGCCATGGGAGGAGTGCGGGTGGAGTTGAAAAAAAGCTCCGGTCCGTTGAAACTTTGGCGAGGTCGAGGTTGGTGGGAGGATACGGCGTGCAATGTCGACTTGCCCGACGCAGGGACAGCCAGCGACTGTGAGCCACGGAACACCGCCCTTTTACCACGGCACTGCCGCGGACCGAACGGTGGTTATCCTCATTAACGTCTGACTGAAGAGCTATCATTATTTACAAGATAGTTACAGCGAAGCTCTCCGGACGTAATTCAAGAGATTCCTAAGTGCACAGTATGCTTACGGACACCACTACGGTTTAGTATTGAAGGTATATTGGAGTCAACTGGTATAACGCTACCATCGCCGATCGGGAACCTAATGCACTTGCAGCGGGGCTAAGGGAAGCCAACGCGAGTTTTATCACGAAAAGTTCCAGGAACTAGACCTACATAGGCGAGTCATTGGTCCTAGGTTCCGACAGGCCTGAGTGACCTGGTGGACAGGTTGGCACGTTGGGGCAGGCTGGCCAATGGTCGCGCATGGCGCTATCGTGATGCACGGTCTTCATAAGAAATTTGTCGAACACCCTTAGTAAGAAACATAAAAATGTCAGTTTGCCTCAGACTGATTGAAAAGACTCGAGCTACTATGAACTGCAGATTTGAGCCCTGTAATGCACCCTAATTTTGCAAATACACCGTGTCGCCTTAGCCTATGTTGACAATGTAGGTACTAAAAAAGTACTAGTAAACAGGGCGACATTATTTTTGCCCGGTAAATCTTTATAACAAAAATAATCAGAGACCACGCGCGCAATCGATCACAGTGAAACAGTCCGTAACAGATCGCGCATAGCGTCACGTCTTGCTCACAAAGAAGGCTGCTGAGGCGCCTCCCACGTCGAGGTACGGCCTTGGTAGGCACTTCAACTAATGCCCTTGAATGATTAGATATTGGCGCTTAGGTACACGTTGACTAGTTATTTATATATTTATAGGTAGGTAGTAGTTATTTAGAAACACACTTAGGTACCCCGCGTTCGATGTCTCTCGGATGGCGAAGATTCTACGCCGTCCGGCCAATCACGTTCCATAACCGCAGCCGAGCCCCCGCTAACCTTGAACGGGATTGGTCGGACGACGTAGAATCTTCGTCGTCCGAGAGACATCGAACGCGGGGTATAACTCAATAACTCCGACTCAAACTGGTAACTTTAACTCGTCAAACTGGCAAGTACGTGAAGGAAGGCACTTCACTGAATGCCCTTGAATGATAAGAAAACTATCGTGTATACGTTGACTAAGGGGTCTGTACCTACATAAGCGTCACAGCGTGCTTATCACACACCCGCGACTGCTTATCGTCCACCCGATTTAAATGGCACGTTGTCATTGTCAGCGATAAAGGCCTCGTCAATCGTCATAGCACAGCTTGTCCAATGAGCTGGCTTGTTCTTGGCAAGGCCTGTAGGCCAATCGCACGTCCGCCGTCCCAAGCAAGCAAGAGATGCAACATTTCAAATGAATTCGGTAAACTTCGTGTCGGTATCTATATATAGAGACACGGTACCTGACCTTATATAATCGTTTAGAACTTAGAAACTTATTCAATTCATTCACAGTTGGGAACTGGAATAAATATGTATGTATGAATTCAACATAGGTACCTAACACGCGCCGTGCAACATTAGGAGTCGAAATGCTCAAGCCAATAAATGTGGCGAATCGTTAACCCTATTAGTGGCAGGCTCCCGGCTCCCCCTTGATATCTCGAGTTCTAACCGGCCGATTTTCAAAATTCAAACGACATTCGATTCCAGTCAACGAGATCTACACTTACTACACTACGAGAAAAATAAAACTCCCAAAAACGCAAATAGGTGGTAGAAGGGGGTAAAACGGCATATTTTAAATGCTTTGTTGGGAGGTAAAATCGACCTCCCTTTCTTTTTCCTGGAACCGCCTATGATCCACCCCTTGTTCACTTGCGAGCTTGTTATACCTACAAAAATGTTTATATACCTGAATGAATGAATAACTAGAGTTAGGGTAGACCGGGGCAAGTCGCCCCGCCGAGGTAAAACGCCTCACCGATGTTTCTCGGAACTGGCAAGGATCTGAGGAAATATTCTCTCTTCTATAAAACGTGCACTATATGATCATTATATGACCAGACTGAAAAGAAATTGTGATGACTCCTTAGGGAGATATAGCCAAAAATGTGTTTTTGGAGTGATTTTTATGTTTTGTTATCAGGTTATGCATCATGGCGTTCTTTTATGGTCCACATCAGGTTAACGACTTTTATGTATTTTGAACAACTATTATCTAACGCTTATAATGCCGGGTTGGTTCGTGTTAAATTATGTCTTGCTGGAGTGCAGGGCGTTGTTTTCTGACCGAACTACGTGATGGGGTAAAACGCCCCAGTAGGTCGCGGGGCAAAAAGCCCCATGGGGCGTTTTGCCTCAAGTGTTGTTCGTACTACCCACTTCCTAATGTTCGGTAGCTGGCAAACAGTAAGTTTCTATGCATTTATGTGCAGTTTTCTCAGCAACCGGATGGCAAAGGAAGTATTTATTTGGTTGACAGTTGCATGGCAATAATTTATTATTTGGCCTTATGAGGCAGGTGAAAAACCTGCTCATACAATAGTGTCATAGCTGAACACCTGATAGGATGGAAGGTGCTAACTTCAGTGCCGTGCCTCCCAAGGTCTAACGGACCTCTCATATAAGATTTGGTCAACTAGCATGTTTAATCTTTAATCTAGAGTATGGGGCTTCTTGCCCCGGGCCGTGGGGCGTTTTGCCCTGGGGTTGGGGCAAAATGCCCCATTTGCAGTTGCTTCACAAATCACTTCATAGCTGAGAGTCCGATCATAAGTGAATGAATTTGAGGGGTGGAATTTAAAGTAAAATGTCCAAAGAACGCATTGAGCACAAATTTGGCCTTCCAGGTGATGTAGGACAAAAGTTATGTAGCAAAATAAATTATCTGGGGCGTCTTGCCCCAGGCTACCCTATACTGCATCAGCATCGTCATCTTCGCCCAAATGACTCGCTCCACGAATAGGACCTCCCATTTCCCCATGCCCTGGAACCGTCCCTGATATAGATATCAACTTGAAATTTTCAGAGAATGTGGCCAGTTAAGTTTAAAGAAAAGTCAGAAAATTTCAACTTCCTAGCTCTAGCCGTTTTGAAGATATTCCCGAAAAAAAAAACTGAGGGGTGGATGGAAATACCCCGTGACACTAATAGGGTTAAGGTGTGGAATGCCGACAGATATGAAGTAAAATTGTTTATTATGCTTGCACAACCACACAGCTTAGGATGGCAAAAGAGGGTACCTCAGAGCTCATAAGATTTTCACGTTGAACCCTCGCCGGCATAGGCCATTTTGAGTCCTTCGACGGCACAAGGGTGGTGGTGGTACGACCCCCTCGCGTTTGGCCCCTGATGGAGCTAGAGCTTCGCGGAAAAAATCGAGCGTGTTGCCCGTCACGAGAGGAAGCCAATGATACCCAATTTTAAGGTCCTAGGTCATCGGTTGACCTTCCAGGTCAGGTCAATGACCCAAAAATCGGGAATATCGGGACCTGTTAGAAAGTCGTAAAATGTGGCTGCTTAGGGGTTTTCCGGGGTGCTGATCACGAATATCGTGTAAGTTTTGATCACAGATGATGTCGTTAAGCATTTAGACCAGGTCGGGTCAGGTCAGATCAGGTCAACCGGTGGGGGTCGTGACGGGTATTCGTAGTACCTGTCATCCGCCTCTGACAGCTTCGTAACATGT